CCCTCGGGCGCCGCACGCCCTCGGCGTGTCGTCCTTCGGCTTCGGCGGCGCCCTGGGCCACGTCGCGCTCGCCGCGGTCGCCCGGCCGCCGCCGGCCGCGGCGGCGGCGCCGGGCGGTGGCCTCGCCGTCGCGCCCCTCGCGGCGCACTCGCCCGCGTCCCTCCGGGCGACGTGCCTGCGGCTCGCGGCCTTCGCCGAGCGCGGCGGCGTCGGCGGCGGGGCCCTCGCGGCCGCGTGCGCGGCGCGCGTCGCCGCGGGCGGGCCCGCGGCCGCGCGGTCGCGGCGCTTCCGCGCGGCCGCCGTCGTCGACGGCGGCGGCGCGGCGGCGGCGCTGCGCGCCTGCGCGGCGCGCATCGACGACGACGCGGCGCCCGCGCCCCGGGGGCGGCCGTTCCTCGTCTTCGCGTTCACGGGGCAGGGCGCGGCGTACGCGGGCATGGGCCGCGCGCTCCGCGACGGCGACGCGACCTTCCGCGCGGCCTTCGACGCCGCGGCGGGCGCCGTGGCGGCGGCCGGCGCGGACCGCGCGGACCTCGAGGCCGCCGCGCTGGGCCCGCCGCCCGGCGGCGACGACCGGCGCGCCGCCGCGCTCCTCGGCGACGCGGCGCTGGGCCAGCCGGCCCTCTTCTGCGTCGAGTACGCCCTCGCCCGGGCCATGCTCGCGGCCCTGGGCCGGACCGCGCCGGACGCCGTGCTCGGCCACTCGCTCGGGGAGGTCGCGGCCTTCGCCGTCGCGGGGCTCCTGGACCTGCCGAGCGCCGCGCGGCTCGTCGTCGGCCGCGGCGCGGCCATGGCGGCGCTGCCGGCGGGCGGCGGGGGCATGGCGGCCCTGCGCTGCGACGCGGCCGACGCCGCGGCGGCGCTGGAGCGGCTCGGCGCCGACGCCGGCGGCGTCGTCGTCGCCGCGGACAACTCGCCGCGGGGCTGCACGCTCTCCGGCCCGGCCGCGGACCTCGACCGCGTCCTCGCGGCCCTCGGCGAGGGCCTGGGCCCCGCGACGAGGCTCCGGGTCCGCACGGGCTTCCACAGCGGCTGCGTGGCGCCCGCGGAGGCCGGGCTCCGGCGCGCGGCCGCGCGCGGGGCCCCCGGCGCGGTCGCCGCGGCGGCCTTCTCGACGCTCACGGGCGCCGCGGTGCGCGCGCGCGACCTGACGCCGGACTACTGGTGGGACCAGGCGCGGTCGCCGGTGCGGTTCCGGCCCGCGGTCGAGGCCGCGGCCGCGGCGGCCGGCGGCGCGCCGCCGCTCTTCGTCGAGGTCGGCCCCGCCGCGCACCTCGCGCCGCACGTCGCCGCGCTCGGCCAAAGGTGCGTCCCGACGCTCCGCGGCTACAAGAAGCGCGGGGCCGAGGTCCGCGCGGTCGCCGACGCGGTCGGCGCGGCCTTCGCGCGCGGCGCGGACGTCGCCGCGGCGGCGGCGCCGGCGCCGGCGCTGCCGCCGACGGCGTTCCCGGCGCCGGCGCTGCCGCCGACGGCGTTCGCGTCCCCGGGCGCCGCGTGGTTCGGGGCCTTCGCCGCGCCGGCCCGCGCGGCGCCGCCGTCGCCGACCTGGGCCGTCGCGCTCGAGCCGCGGGCCCGCGCGCCGCGCCGCGGCGGCTTCGCCACGGCCGCCGTCGTCGGGCGCGGGCGCCGCGCGGACGCGCTCCGCGGGGCAGGACAAGAGAGCGAAATGCCCAACTTCAAAGGCTCCTCTCTCGGCCGTTTTCCACTCGTTTTGGCTGATTTTTGAACGAGCGATCATCTCTTGGAACGGTCTCGAAGCGTGAATGCTTTTCTCGGAACGCGCGCGCGCGGAACACTCACTTTGAAGCGACGTTGAATCTCTCTTGTCCTGCCCAGGCGCTCCGCGCGGCGCTCGCGGCCGCGGGGCTCGGGGAGGCGGCGGGCGCGGCGCCGGCGGACCTCGTCGCCGTCGTCGTCGACGGCGACGACGTCCTCGCGGCCGCGGTCGCGACCCAGGGCGCCGCGCAGCGCTGCCGCGCGGCGAGGGCGCTCGTCGTCGTTTTGGACGCGGCGCCCGCGACCCTGCGGGCCGCGGCGGCGGGCGGCGCCGCCGCGGGGCTCCTGCGGTCCGCGCGGCGCGAGGGCGAGCTCCGGGGCGACGCGGCGGCGCTGCGCGTCGTCGCGGCGCCGGGCGGCGCCGCGGCCGCCGTCGCCGGCGAGCTCGCGTCGGAGCTCGCGTCGGCCGAGGCCGCGGACGTCGTCCTCGGCGCCGGCGGCGCCGTCTTCGCGCCGCGGCTCGTCGCGGGGCCCACGCCGGACGCCGCGGGCGCGGGCCGGCTCCTCCGCGGCGCGCGCGTCCTCGTCACGGGCGGCACGGGCGCGCTGGGCCGTGTGGAAAGCAACCGCCCCGTCCGGCGACAACTTCAAACCTCTCTCTCTCGATCACATCGACGTCGATGCGGCTGATTTTGGGACGAATCGATCGCTCTCGTCGAGTTCTCGAAGCACAGCCGAAGAGCCCGTGTCGACCCCTTCGATGGCGCGCACCATTGACGTCGGGGTGCATAGTCGAGTTCCGCGCAGGCGCTGGGCCTCGCGACGGCCGCGTACGCGTGCGGCCGCGGCGCGGCGTTTCTCGTGCTCGCGTCGCGGAG